TGCAAATGTCTCAACTGACCAATCAGAATCAAGCATTCCAGAGAGCCGTGTAATAATATGTGATATCATGCCTACAGTTACACATGTACTCCAGGTGTGTTTACTGCTTTTGAGCGAAAGCGCCTTATGGGAAAAAACGAGGGCAGGAGAGTGTAATCAGCTACATATCTACCAACATATTCTTGTCTAGTTTCAGGAAATGCACACCTATGAACCAGACCAATGCGATAACTTCAAATACACTGTTCCTTTATGGAATTCTGGATGGCAGTTCAGGTTTAATTCCTCAGCCAAAAGTACAATGGCTGAACCCTTCTCATGGAACTTGAACCAACAACCTTCAGGTCATTAACCACTGCACTGGCTGCTGGCATGTGAACTGAAAACAAGGGATCCCAGCACTGGCAGTGTAAATAGGGAACAGGCTTCAAAGCGGAGGCGGTTCAAAGGAGAATCGGCGACGGCTGCAGCGGAGTCCGTGCCTTCATTCCTGCACCAGACTCCAGCTGCAACGGCCAGCAGTGAGCCAGACAAAAACACTGGCCGACGCTCCCATTTGGAGTTCATCGCGGGGGTCCGTGCCAAGTCGCTGACAGATGAACACCTTAAATCCCTCTCAAATTAAACTATCATTAGGTCATTTCAAGGACACGAGACCAAATATTTGGGTGTCTAAGCACACGTGGTGGGGGTTTGCTTTGTGCAGAACACTAGAGGGCCCCAGCCTTAAGAGTCCCCCCCCGCCCCACCCCCAAAGTGTTACAGTGCAGGCTTGGAATTCCATGACATGTGATGTGAATGGGGGTGAGCTGTGGAGCCACATGTGTTTGACACGTGGAGAAACTGCAGTCAGACCCCCCCCACCTTCCCTTTCGCTCTGAAAGCTTCACACAGCTGCTCATCCCTGCCAACCAGGGGTGCCACTAGATATTCTGGGTCCCATGAAATCACATCATATTGGGCCCACATCCCAAATCAATCCCATTATGTTGCAATTTTTTAGGCCCCCTGTCACTCCTCCCCTTTTGGGTACCCCTGCCCCCCAACAAACACACACACACACAAGCATCGCATCAGCAAATTCCACATTTTCTTTCTTTTTAATTTTTATTAATGGTTGATTATTTATTTTTTTACTTTTTATTTATGATATCCCCAAGAGAGTACGAACCTGCACCGTCAGCATGGCTAACCCAGAGGGATCACCCAAACCTCTACCACAAGAGCCACCGCACCATAAATAGCGGGAGATGGGCGAGGAAATCTACATCCAACAGCAGGTCATGCTGCTTAAATGTAAAACATCTGAGGTCGTCCACATGTCTGCACCGCAGAAGATCTGATTCAGCATGACATTAGCTACACTAAGTGTGCAGCTGGGGTGGCTGATGGCTGTATGCGGCTGTGAGCGATTACATGAACCAAGCCCCCATTTGCTCATGGTTTGTCTAGCTGCTGTCTCCACCGAGTCGCCCGCTTGAAATGCCCAGCAGGATGACGGGAAGGACAGGGACATATTTGCAAGCGGCTGGGTCAACTTGCGTCAATTTTTTTGGCATGACAATGGCTTACTAGACAGCAGTCAGGTTAAGGACCATCTGATTTTTACGGCTCTACACAAGTAAAAATAGCGCTTATATTTGACTGGAGAAAAGCAGAGGTATAGGTATACCATCTCATTTTTTATTTTACCCAAATTGACATAGAATTGAGAAAGCAGGGTTACTCAGTCCTTGTATCACTTGGGGTTAAGCGACTTGCCCAAGGACCTAACTGTGACATCACTCTGCCAACCACGGGATTTAAACCAGCAACCTTCAGATCACACAGAGCCACACACGGACACCTTTAAGAATGAAGTTGGGGGAATGAGTTAGGGATGAAAACCAGCAGTCCAGCTCAGGAGGGTCCAACACATCCCTAAGGCTGGTTAGTACTTCTGCGTCACGTCCAAAGCCTCCTCAAGTGGCCTAACCCTCTGTAAGCATTTATACTTCTGCACTGCTGTGTCAGTGTCGCCCTGCAATTATACTGGGTTTCAGTTTCGGCAAAACATTTTTGCTCTGTTACAGGAAATAAAACTTAGCAAGCTCTGCAATTTTAATAATTGTTCCTTTTGAAGATTCTCTAGTTTCAAGTTTGCTGCTGCTGTTTTTGCATGAGCTCTGCACATACTCTCTGAGGCAATCATAATCATTTTCATCTTTGCTGTTTAAATCACTCATAGTTGGCTTTGTGAGAAATGTATTTTGAACTCTTTTTTGCACTAGAAATATCACAATATTTATCGCAAAACAATCTCATTGCGATATCTGAAATTTTTCAATTTTGTGCAGGCCTAGTATGAATGGCTGCCACCGTGGCAAAAACAGCAGGCTAGTAACAAGGTAAACAACTTGAGCCACACTAAAATACCCCCAGCCCGAAATAAAACTACAGCAAAACATTTGCGTAGGAGGAATTGCGATGTTACCAAGTGGACCAATCGCAGCTGTTGCAATCTGTGCCGCTGCAACACGTAGTTACGTTTCTGGGGAGGTGCGCGTCGCGTCAGGCTGCGGCGTAGGGTATGTGACCACGCCGTACCTATAGCATTGATTCCACAGAAGTATGAACCAGCTCAGTAGGGAGATCGCCGACCACCACGTCCCCCAATCCTCATCGGGGAAGGCAAACAGCTTCTACAGGGCCAGTCACAACCTGACTTGCCATTAAAGAAATGGAGCATTTAATCAAAACCATCCATGCCCAGGTACCCAATAAAATAATGAAAACTAATGGAAACAGAAGGCGCTGCACTGTAGCTCGGATGTTGAAAAACAAGTGCAGGACTCTTTCCATTTCAAAGTGCCACAAAGCAAGGTTTCGTTTTAATACCCGACTCCCCTCATCTTTCATCCACAGATAGGCAGAGGCATAAGAAATAGCTTTGAAGACATACATTGATCACTTTATTTATATAAATAAGCTCATTTCCTTCTAAAAGATGTGTATATCATTTTCCAATACATAAAATATTTACAATAATTCTAAAATGCACCTTTTAATATAACTTAGTGGCAACAATGGAGAGAGGCTGGGGTTTAACGTTAAATACAGAGTCATAGAAACCAGGCTGAGGGGGAATGAAGCCAAACACGAAGTCATGCTCTGTCCCTTTAAAAGGTGCTGGGACTGCACTGACATTAAACAGCCTTCATATTCACACACAGTCTCACCTGTACAAGGGAAATAGCCCGTCACTCACGGCCGTTGGCCTAAAATCAGCCAACCCATGGGAGTTTTACTTACACAAAAATGTTCTAAGGGCGGAGTGAAAAATGATTGTTTCAGAGAGATGATCAATCAGATTGTAAAAGAGGTGGGTCCAGGCAACTAGAGGAGGCGGGACCAACCAATCAGATCTTGGTCCAACCTCCTCTAGTTCCTTGAACCCACCTCCTCTACAATCTGATTGGCTCTCTGAACCAATCATTTTTCGTTCTGCCCTCAGAACATTTTGTGTAAGTAGGACTCCCACAAGCAATGGGGCATGGCAGGAGGACGGCATGCTACACTCCCGTCCAAACAGCGTCTCGTCATAGCGACTCACTGACAGGCGGGATGTGGAAACGGCCCATCTGGTCGTACTACACCCTCGCTAATGCATGGTTCCAAAGTCACTTCAAGACGGTCTTTGAAGCGTTTCACGGGTCTAAGATTAAGGTGAAAGGAGTAACCTCTCCAATAAAAACTGTGGGTAAACATGAAGCCAAGTGGCTGTGGAGTGGGATGCGGTTAATGACTGCTATGACGATTGGGGTCAGCTTCACGTAGAGCAGAGGTCCCACAGCCCACCCACAGAACTTTACTAGACACTACTAGACCAACCACAGTGCTGGCAAGGCCTACTAGAACACAGCCAATCTATCCAGCTTTGAAAACCATTAGTGATCTTTGAAGGAACCAGTCTCCACGTAGCAACGCTGATATAGACAGGTGTTTACAAAACACTGGACAGCCAAGGGACCAAAGAAACCTTCACTGGATTAAAGTTTGAGTCATTACCTGCCACTAGGGGCTCCAACTTGCCTGTTTGTACTGATGACCTTCCTACAGACCTCAACCTGATATATAATGGTCCCCCATGTGATCCAGATGATTTTCATTTCAACGGTAAGTGGTCTTAGATGGACAATTAGCCTTAAGAAGGAAGGGGTGGGGGGGAAAGCAGGAGTTGTACTGTAGCGATAAAACCATGTGGCATCAGCAATACTTGTTGGAAAATATTTGAAAGATTTACATACAAAAATGTGTAGGAAATATCAGGGCTACACAAGGGGGACCCCCCTCCCCCCACGTGGCATATTAAAAACATTACTGACAACATCTGAATAACATTCATAGCAATAATCATAATACTAGAGGTAGCAGCTGTTCAGGGTCTTTAATTCTCAGTTCTTAAAAAAAAAAAAAAATTATAAAATCTTCAAAAGTATCTTCAGCTCCAGGGATGAGTGGGATTCTGATCCAGGGACCGAACGGAAACGCATTTTAAAAGCGACTCTACCAGAAGTGCTTTTGAAAAACAGTCACGGGGCAGTAGAGCAGATGGGTTCCCCGTGATCTGCAGGCAGCCACAGTGATTCCCACAAACCCATGTTCCTTCATATGCAATGTCTGGTTGACCATTGCTCTGCCCCTCGGTCCTGTCCCTCAAACCTCTTAAGAGGAGTGACGAAGAGTGGTAGAGGAAGTTCAATCCAACCATGTATGCAAACTGCAAATACAACAATCAATAAAATCGATGAGAGCAGCAAAGCTCCTTTAAGACTCGTTTCCCCCTCCCCTAACCCCACCAACCACACCTCCCAATTCACACACACGGTGCCAGTCGGCAAGGCTCCGCACCCTCAGTGCTAAGGGAGCCTCCAGGCTCAGCAATGGCCTTCACAGAGCTCTGGTGACGTAACTACATTGTGGGCGGGGCCAGTGAAGAGGAGGGGGGGTTCAGGACTGGTAGAAGTGGTGGTAGTGGTGATGGTGCTCATGGTGATGATGGTGCTGGTGCCGTTGGACCACCGGACCCAGGCCACCCTCGTACAAAACCAAGCTAGGCAGCTCCCGCTCTTGCCCCCTCTCTGTCACGGGGCCCATCATGCGGGGGTTTTGCTGGCCGTCTTTAGCACGCTGCTTGTGCCTCCTGTAGGGCCCAACATGACCAGGCAGCGCCGGTGGCGGGGGCGCGGTTCGGCTCTTGAGTGCCCGGGTCCTGGCCAACTGGGCCACTACCTGGGGGTGCCCGGAGATTTTGGGGGAGCGCAGAGCGTGGCGGCCCCAGTCCTCGTCCCGAGCCCGCAAGCAGGACGCCTCCACCTGCACAGTGTGCAGGCGCCGGTGATGTGGGTGACCGGGTCCATTCTCTGGCTCATGGGAGCGGGACCGCGACTGATTCGTGGGCCGGATGTGAGGCTCAGCTTTTCCTGGGTCTGTGGTACCTGCGTTCAGGGAAGGTGTACTTCAGCTCCAAAGGACGGGGTGATCCAGCATTCACCTGAACACCCCACTCACACGGACAGCCAGAGTTGGGTAATTCAGGTCCAGAGAGTAAAAGTCCAGACCGGGATTTTGTTTCAACCAACCAGTTGAATACTCTGTGACCGACTCTTTATGCTCAACTGGTTGGTTGAAACAAAATCCCAGTCTGGACTTTTACTCTTCAGACCTGAATTACCCAACTCTGTGGACAGCTGTGTTAGTCTTTGAGCATCTTAAAGCAGATAAAGTAACTTGGTAATTATAATCGTCATACTTTACACTGGATATCTGAGGGAGGAATTCCAAGTTTCTTCAAAGATACTTGGATACTAGTACATTTCTTTAATAACTACGCCATCTTCTGACTTGCGGGCTCAATTACTGTCAGCAATACAATGCAGAAGGTCTGACTGGAATTATGACACTGGGAGAACCCACCTGACCCAAAGCGTGATGTATAGTTCTCAATCCCAGCTAGGTCTAAGTAGTGGTTCCTACGCTCCAGGTTCTCATCTACGCAGTGCCTCTGGCAGCTCGGCTGGGTGGGCTGTTCACCATGGTGACGCCTGGAGATCAGGATGAGAGAGATGGAGTTCAGCTTCTGTCAGAGGGAGAGAACCCTGTCCTTAAGCCAAGCTTTCCCAGAATGCATTGGGGGATGACTGCCCACGCAAACTATATCCACACCGCTCTGGTTTGGAAGAGTCACAACAAACACTAATCATAAAAATAAATACTGCAATGTCAGGATTAAGTGTTGGATTGGATCAGAGCCTGTACATTTTTTGTAGCCAGCTTCATGTGACCTAGTTTGACATTTTGGCATGCTCATTAATGATTTCAATCCCTAGTGCGTGAATTAAACCGAGAAATCTGCTTGGAATCTCCAGACGTCTGAACTCCAGATCACATGTGGGATTCCGTTACAACTCTCTCTGCACGAGAACACTTGCGTTTGTCTCCTGGCGTATTCGAACGATCTCGTCATGCTCGTGGTCATGTAGACGTGCAGCCAGATGTAAAAGTGAGTTCATGAGTCCAACTGGAATAGTCTAATGAATGATTAGATATGTGGGTGGGATCTGAATGGATTTTTCAGGCCTGTTGTGTAAACACGGCCTTAGCGTGGTGTGCAAACCGTGGTTAAAAGGTCACTCTGATGCTCCACAATGTTCCCGTTCCTCCATTATTAAAATCTGCGTAGTCCATGAATCCGTCTATGAGGCGTTTACCCATGATATTTCAATCAAAAATTTCAATTAAATTCTACAGCAATAGCTTTATATGTAGTAAGCTTGCTGGTTCTCAGTGCCGTTTTCTGATGGCTTCATTGGCCAAATTTGATTAATCTGCATTATTAAGAGCAGAAAATGGTATTTTCTGAATTTGAAAATCCCCTATCAAAAAGGGGGCAAAGGGTAATTAAATGTCCTGAGCAGACACACCCTGTGCCAGCCTTGAAGTACATGTGCTGCGATTTCAGAACCCAGCAATCCATACCTGATAAGAGCCCGGGACTTCTTGTCAGAACTTTTGGGATCTTCGATCCACTTGTCAGCCTTTTGCCTCAAATGGGGATGGTCTGGAAAAGGGGGGGGGGGGGGGGGCGTTATCAAAGGGAGCCACATTAAACAGGCTCCTGCACACCAACGTAGGCCCTGCATCTCGCCGAAGAAAGATACCTTTGTTCTAAGCTTTGGCTTTGAAGATTTAGCAGAGGGAGAGAGCGAGAGCCCATGCAAGGCAGTGAGTGAATGTGTGTGTATGTGAGAGAAAGAGAATTGGGGGGGGGGGGGGAGAAAACAAATGCTTCATTTATTATATTCTCAGCCCCGGGGCACAGACGCGGCAGACCCCGTAAAAACAGCAGCCGTCGCTGACGAGCAGGAGAAAAGGCCGCCCGCGTTCACAGGAGGCTGCTGGGAATTAGGGTAATAACGCCCCCCGCGAGGGTAAAGCGTAAAGCGTTTTACCAACTGTCAGACTGTCCGGGCTACAACGTCAAAGCTTTCGCCATCCAGCCAGGTGGAGTCATTCGAGCTCCCCAGTCTGTCTGTCACTCACCTGCTGGGGTCTGAGCGGGCCCCTTCCATCGGCTGGAGTCAGGGGCCACAGACAGCTTGACCCGAAGGGTCTTACTGGTGCTGGGGGAGTGGTTCACGGACGCGTCCACCACCTCGTAGATGGTGTGCAGCAGGCTTGTGATGTCCTGCAAGGCCAAGGAAGGCTAGATGAACAGGAAATAACTACAGCAAGTAGAGACGAACACACCAGTGTGTTGACCTCTTAAGGCCACTGGCTCTAGGCTGCCTCATGTTCTCAGTCTTTACAGGACCTCCTATAGCAAGTCCATACAATTCCATGAAATCAGTCAAAAGTTTTTTTTATTCTTGTTAAGGATTGGAAAGTTGAGTGAACAATTATAAATGAAAATATAAGACAAATGAAACAAGTTTCCTTTATAACATGGAGAGAGTGTGTAACAGTTAATGTCTGACATCCTGTTACCTGGTTGTGTGGTGATGGCAGTCAAATTCTAGGCTGTCCTTTAACTTTAAATGTACTAGTTAACCGTTTCATCCCATAAAACAGAGCAGTATTTAATGTCCCTTGTAGAAAGAATGCCTCGAATTTTCTCTGCTGTTAAAACCGCTAGCGGAGGCTACTTTGATTAGCATTTTCTTGCTAATCAAGGTACTCAAATGGTGAACATACTGTAAATTTGTTAGCAAAGTATATTGAGTGATGTGTATACACACACACACACACACACACACACACACACACAGTTTGGCAATAAGTAGAGAGAAGATGGGGGGGGGGCACCCATCTCATGCTGGGAGGCTGGGGGCTATGCCTAACCGGCTGGAGATCGAGGATTCAGTCGATCGGACACAGAGGAGAGGCTGTTTTGATTGGAGCCTTAGATCTTTACTGTTCAGGACTGGGCCGACTAGGGAGGAAAGGATGAAGCTGGAGTGGCGCCGTTCCATTTAACGCCAAAGAGATGGGGATTGTTTTTGGCAGGATACGCCGAGCTGCCAGTGTCTTTCCAGGAAAGGAGTGTAGAAGGTGTGTGTGTGTGTTCGTGTGTGCGTATGTGTGTTCGTGTGTGTGTGTGTTCGTGTGTGCGTGTTCGTGTGTGTGTGTGCGTGTGTGCGTGCGTGTGTGTGTTCGTGTGTGCGTGTGTGTGTGTGTGCGTTCGTGTGTGCGTGTGTGTGTTCGTGTGTGCGCGTATGCACGCACCCTTTTGGAATCAGTGGCGAGTAACTCCTACCTCTCTTGTGACCTTGCCATTGTTGTCGAAGTCATACAGTGTGAAGGTCCACTCCTGACGATCGTCTTCCTCCACAGAGACGGCGCATTCCAGCTCCTGGTCAGAGGGCAGACACACACAGCACAGGGGGGTGGGCTTTAGGCGGATTTGGTCCCTAACAATGTTGAAGCCAAACCTATGCCCTCGAGCCTTGGGAACGTGCCAATAGAAAATGGCTAACAGGAAATGGTCATTCAAGACATTAGAGGCAGCGGTACACCGAACAGTCCCAGCCCCCCAGGGTCGGTTTGACACTCACCTCAAACTTCAGCGGTTTCTGAACACCTCTGGTATCTGCACCATCCCGCACATGTGCCTTGTCCTCGCCGTAGCACCTGTCCGTCTTCTCGGGGGGCAGGTCCACTGAAGGAAGTGGTGAGGGGGGGGACACAACAAGGAGGCTTTAATCAAGGTGGGGGGGGGAAGGGGAATGGATGTGACGGATGTGACTGATGCACTGATTCTGCTCTTTGAAGACTTTGGATTGCAGCTGGGGTGGGGGGGGGGGGGGGTTTGGATTTTTCTATGAATGTTAGAAAAATTTGTAGGGGGGGGGAAAAAAAGTTTAAGCAGGACTAGGGGAACAATTCATTCAAATAGGGTTGAGCCCCACCCCTCAGGGGACATTTTATAAAAAAAAAAAAAAAGCGAGAGAACGCAGGTCCATCTGGAGGGGATGGGTTCAAAAGCAACGCTGGAGCAGAAAGCACATCAAAGGGCATGAATCCAGCCTGTGTTAGCATCGACGCCCCAGCTGTGCTTGAGATAAGGAGACATGCTGGACATGGGGGGAGGGGGAGAGCGTCACTGCAAGGCCCAGTTTGGAGGGCGCCCTCTATAGGCAGCTGACCATGTGACCTCAGTCAAGGTTACCCAACTGCGGTTAAACAAGGGTCCTGTTTTAGCTCCACCCATTCATAAAAACATCCTCTGCAAGCAGTTAGCCATTGGTTACTTCCAATTTTACACTGTGACAGCCATATAAACGAACAGTTGTTGTGTTCAATTCACTTGAGGACAGCAGAAATTGAGGAGGGGGGGGGGGGTGGAACCACACACACACAAACATACACACACACACACACACACAAAATGGAATTTCCTGTAATCCAAACCATTGTCATCCGACCCAAAGGCAGCGTGATGTGCTTGTTTACGCCTCTGTCCATCAGATGCGAAACACAGATGTTAAATGCCACGGATTCGCATCGCTCCTGAACAGCTACAAATCTGGCCCTCCCATAGGTGCGGGGTGACACATTAAATGCTTTCCATCTCGCCGCCGCACTTTGAAGTTCCACACTGCGGCTCCAAAACGCTTTTTGGAAGAGGATCAGACGGCTTTAAAAACAGAATTACTAATTAATTAAGCAAAGTTAAATTTTAAACACTTTGTTGTGCTCGCCAAAAGGCCAAAACACTGTGTCCCCCTTCTCTACAACCTCCCCCCTTCCTGTTCCCAATAGATCAAAGAGAATCTGTCCCTTCCTCTCCGCTGGAAATGGGGGGCCCCCTGCATTCTTTTTTCTAATCTTGGGGAGAAGCACACAGACTGGACCTCGACCGGCCTCTCGACTGTCAGAGCCAATCACGGAGGCCATCCGCGTGCGGAGGCGGCCTCTCGACTGTCAGAGCCAATCACGGAGGCCATCCGCGTGCGGAGGCGGCCTCTCGACTGTCAGAGCCAATCACGGAGGCCATCCGCGCGCCTGATCCGTACAGAAGCAGAGAAGGACCTTTGATCTGCCTGAGTTTGTGCATCTTGAGAAGCAGATTGACCAAACGGCAATACCCGCACCCGTCACATTCCGCCGGGGAACCCGCACCCGTCACACCCGCGGGGGTTAACGGGAAGATGCGCGTCCCATTGCTTTGCCTTCGGAGCCTTTGTCTATTTTCTCCTTGGCTATTTTGCTGGTCCATCTCCCCATATCACAACCCACCAGTTTCTCAGAGCTGCAGGTTCAAGCTGGAACTCAATACACACACACACACACACACACACACACACACACCTACCTACCTGCTACCACGGCCTGCACTCTCATCTGGGGGACAGCTACCCCCCTAACTCACAGGTCAGCCTCCCCCACTCCTCAGTCCCAGCCACCCAACCCCCCCACCCACACCGGGAGACACAGATGCACTCGATCTTTCCGCTTCTCTAGCTGAAAGGCCTTTCATGAACATGCCAAGTCTATTGCTTGTGGGTAACAAAGGGTGTCTGTCTGGCTACGGAGCCCACAGGTCACCTGGCAGGCATGAACTGTCTGGGACGGCCGAGCAGCACCAGGGGGGGTATATGGGTGGGGCCAAAGGTGCCCTCTCCCCATCCGAAAGCCAACTGGGCCCCAGAGAGCCGCCTCACCTGTCACTCCCCAATTCAAAACATATCATTCACCAATTATAAGGTTGGCCCTTCTATATGAATTATGCCCCCACCTTAGTAATAAAACAACAAAAACAACAACAATAAAAAAATGGTAGAATCACCCCTGTCCATCCCCATTTTTTCCCCAGAGGCTATAAATTTTTTGTTACGATTGATTAAGTTCCATTTCAACTGTGGCGTCTGGTGCAGGTTCAACACAGGTAAGAGACAGAGGGGAGGAATGAGCAAGTTTATGGGAGCAACAATGAAACAGCATCGGGGTGGAAGGATCCTACCTTCTAGGCGATAATGTTGGTCTATGATCCCATCCTTGCACAGTTCATCCTACAGGGAGGAAACAGATGAGGGTCAAACAGCCGGCACAAAATAAAAGCAGAGGATCACACAGCTTAATACACCAACGTACAAAAAAATAAGCAGTTCAGGTTCATTAGCTTGCTGTAAGGTTCAACTTCAAAGCCCCACCCTCAAGTCAGGCTCCTTAACTAGTGAGGTTGTGTGTTTACCAAAAAGGTACAAGTACAATCACTTAAAGCCATCACACAAAGAATAAAAACACGAATCCATAGGAGACACCGTAGGCTCGCTCTTAAACCAGAGACATGCTGGGAAAAGGGGCAGCAAGTGCATTTCTGTGCCATGTCTGTTGTCACAGCCATCTGCTGGCATCAGGGTGGGAGTCTTTCAGTGGACGGTTGGCCGCCCTCAGGCAGCACATGCTACAGCAGGGTTGCCCAGTTCCAGTCCTGGAGGGCTAGTTTGCAACACAGTTTGCAGATTCCCCGGCTCAGACGCACCTACTAAACCTGGTAAATAGCAGGTTGAGAGCAGATCCTGGATCAGATATCAGCTGTGGAGTTTCACCGCATTCGATCCACAGTGAAATCTTCCTCTGTCCTCTCCAAGCACTGCCTTCACACAGATACTGGAATTCGGCTCGGAGTGTCACTCCCCCCACGCTCGCAGCACACCATTTCAGAGACCGACTGGCCTATAATTTTCCCCACTCCATCCTGGACATAACATCAGAATCCCAGTTCTCTCAAAGTACGCTTCCTGCGCCGGAAACAAGGCACCCACGCGAGCCTCTGTGGTAACACAGTTACAAAACACAGCTTCTTCCCATGTCATGTACAGTTTAAGCAGCAGCCAGGTGTCACTGTGTGAAAGGTACTGTAGCTCCCACGCAAAGATCCAAAGTAAAACTTTACAGCATCACCATTCTCCAGAACAGACAGCCGGGTGGCCGCACAGAGTCTGACTGGGAAACTCCAAGCCAGTACATTTGCATGCACACTCACTAGATGGACACCGACAGGATTCATGGTCAATAAAACATTAGATCATTTCTTTTTGTGACAATTATCCACAAAGTGTGCAGCTTTTGTCACTGCAGTATATTGTCTGCTTTTCAGGTGGTTGTTTCTAACACGCGCTCTCTGTCCGCTGGTGGGAGTGTGCTCACCTGTGTGTGCGCACGTGTTTGTGCACGTGCATCGGGGCGGAACTCCGCCATGCGCGATACAGAGAGCAGACTCAGCAGAGGAGAATTGTGAACGCGTGACCGTGTAGAGACAAAAATGACAAGCTGTTGTGTAAGTAAGACAAATAACATAAGGCTATTTAGTTTGTTTAATAAAAGGACAATGCATAGATCTGTTCTATAGGAAAGGTAACTTTAAATGCCTTCTGTTGTGATCTGGCGCTATTTAGAAAATAAAATGAAATAAAATTAACTTGACCTTCAAGGGGGGGCGGGGCGCCCCCCTAATATAATGGTAGAGGAAACACTGGGCTATATATCAATTCCCCTCCCATGCATGTATACTGGGACAAGGACAGCAATCTGATTAAATGGATCAGTCAAGCTATAACCACAGCTCAGCTTAGCTGTGCATGTAAACATACTGACTGTACATGAAATTAAAAGAGGGAATTACTCACGATCACCAACCAGCCCGACACTGGAGCCAACTATTATCTTTAAATCTCTCTCTCGCTCCCTTCCACCCACCCACCCACACACCCACACACACACACACACACACACACACACACACCTACCTTTGCGGGGACCATCCCCTACCATGAACCATAAGTAACCAAACAAAATACAGGACCTTTGACATTTTTAGTTTTTTTATTGTCGAAAAAGTTCCCCCCACAACATCAAAATACGCATCACACCACATCACACCCCCCACACGCAGAAAGATGCTCAAACCTGAGGCGAGTCCAGTGCTTCTTGCTCGTTAGCACCATCATTACAGCCACAGGAGAGAGTTTGACAGAACTCCATAATCGCAATGCAAAGATTGATTTATTAGGGGGGACAAATTAAGCGAAATGAAATATTGGGGCACACATCTCCCCCAGTTCCTATGTCCTTGGGGCACACATCTCCCCCAGTTCCTATGTCCTTGGGGCACACATCTCCCCCAGTTCCTAT